GGCGACCAAACGGTTGACGGCGTCGGGAATGACGAGTCGGCGGACAGAGTTTGAGTGCCGACACACGGGTTGCGGCCAAACGTACGATCGGGTGTCACACCTGCGCCGGCATCAGATCAGTCACATGACTGACCGGCCGTTTCGGTGCGAATACGAGAGTTGCGACGCCGTGTTTGACTACAAGTATCTTCTCGGCCAACATATGGCCAAACTTCACGGCAATCCGGCGGCCGAAGCCGTGCGCCGGCGACGGCTGGAGAACCAGCGGTGCTTCGACCCGACGACCGGCGTATACGTGTGTCCGCACACCGACTGCGCCAAAGAGTACGACACGTACGAGAAGTTCACGCATCACTTGCGTGTCGTTCACCCATCGGTGCGGTACCCGTGCGGACACCAGGGCTGCCACAAGTCGTTCAAAACGCGTATGCAATTGCGTCGACACCAGTGGACACACAGCGACCATAAGCCCCACCGATGCCAACACCCGGGCTGTGCGTACGCCACCTCTCATAAGGACAATCTCCGCCACCACTCTGTCATTCATTTGGCCGAACGACCCGTCTATCGGTGCGAAGAGCGGGACTGCCAGAAGAGCTACAACACGCCGGCCGGCCTCAGACAGCACGTGAACAACGAGCACAGGTCAACCGATATGGCCCGACGGCACCGGTGTTCGCACCCCAACTGCGACCGCAGTTACGTGACTCGTCAGCGGTTGAAGAGCCATATGGCCAGCCATAGCGCCGAACCGACCCTACGGTGCGGTCGCTGTCAGGAACTGTTCCACACGGAGTGGTATCTGACGAAACACGTGAACACTGTTCATCTCAACAAACCTATGGTTCAGGGCTTTAAGCCGATCTACCCGTGCGAATGGCCCGGTTGTGACTATAAGGGCACGCGAACGGCGCTTCGCAATCACCGTAATCTTCATACGGGCGACAAACCATTCACCTGCGATTGGCCCGAATGCGACAAACGGTTCCGACTGGCGGCCACACTTCGCGACCATAAGAATATACATTACAATCTGCGGCCGTACGCCTGCCATTGGCCGGGCTGTCAGTACAGCTGTAGTAATAGCGGCAATTTGGCCAAACATGTCAAGCAATCGCACCCAAAGTGAATGAATCTCAAGATATCTTGTAATTTATTAGACATTTTTGTAAATAGTGTTTTTAATTCAGGTTTTTATTGAGTTTGTATTTTAAAATTATTTATTTTTGTGATTATTAATTTAATAAATGATTAATTTTTACACACTGTTTAGTGTTTTAAACACTGTGTTTGTATGCTTTCACTGCAATACATATAATGCATTGCAGTGAAGTGTCGGTCCCTATGAGTACGAGTTGTGTGTAAACAATGTTTGACAACAAATCTGTTTGAATTGATTTTGATATGAATTATGGCTTTAAATGGAGTTATGATTAAAATCAATGATATTTTCGATGATTTAAGGCATGAAAACAATAGACTATTCAATGAGTTATTGTTTGCAAACAATTATATCAATGCTTTGAATGCATTCAAAGACCACTTGTTTGCCATTTATTGCAAATGCGATACTAAT